GTGAAATATGTATCATATGAGTTGCACCAAATGAAAGAGGAGGATCTAAGCTTTACAAATATGTGTCATTTATTAACATAGATAATTCTCGGGTTCGTTTTTTCTGGGACGCACTGTAGTTTCTAAAATAAAATTATCATTCTTCCATCAAAATTTGCATCCATGCTACACACATAGCTATCTTTTCATTACATCACAGAGAGATCGGTTATCGTCCAATACCAAAAAGAGAAATAATAAACAAGCAGTCAGATGTTTTAATCGCAGATTTCAGACATTTTATTGTTAAAAAATATGACATCTACACATTACTACCATAAAACACGTTACAAAACATTCATGATAATACCTTCACAAGCCATGTATCATCAGAAAAAAAGAGATATTCAAGAGAGAAAAAAATAAGACTGGAAAATGGGGCGAGAAGCATTGACAGTATAATAGTGTGAAATAAATAAAGAGAAAGAAAGGAGAGAGAGAGAGAGATAGAGAGAGAGATAAAGAGAGAGATAAAGAGAGAGATAAAGAGAGAGAAAGAGAGGGGGAGATAGAGATAGAGAGGGAGAGAGAGAGATAAAGAGAGATAAATAAAGAGAAAGAAAGGAGAGAGAGAGAGAGAGAGGGAGAGAGATAGAGAGAGAGAGAGAGAGAGAGAGAAAGAGAGAGAAAGAGAGGGGAGAGAGATAGAGAGAGAGATAAATAGAGAGATAAAGAAAGAGAAAGAGAGGGGAGAGAGATAGAGAGGGAGAGAGATAGAGAGAGATAAAGAGAGAGATAAAGAGAGAGAAAGAGAGGGGAGAGAGAGAGAGAGAGGGAGAGAGGGAGAGAGAGAGAATGATAGAGAGAATGAAATCATTAAGAGGATGAGAGAGAAAGCAAAAATAAAGAGAGAAAGACGGATGGAAAGAGAAGGTTAAAGAGTAAAAAGTAGACTGAGAAACTAAGAAAGATGGATAGAGAATAATAAATTCCAAGACTGATTGAGAAATAGAAAGATTGAAGTCAAGTTTGACAGGCAAAGAGATAAATAGGCCAAGAGAGAATGCAAGGAGCATTACATGCATAATGGAATGATTTTTCAATAATATGCACAACGCATTCATTTCATGCATCACACATTTATAAAGATAGGAGCTGGCAGTTGAAACAGTACAATTATTAAATTTATACAGGCTTCGTTCAGATATGACACAGCAAATTCGCGTTAATAATAAAATATGACATGAAGTGCAATGTGCTTTAGATTTCTATATCTTATAACACAGAGCTCAGTGAATACATGCAGGACCTTTGTTGCGTGCAGTTGCCATTCTTTTACACAGTAAAAAACATGGCATATTTTTTTACGGCAGTTAACCGCGGCATATCTGAACAAGCTTTATAAGGCCTACACAGACCACAGGAGATGAAGACACATAGATGAAGAAAAAAACAGAGAAATCTTAAGATATGGTGCACCAAAGAATAATTCAAATAATGTAAGTGATTGTAAAAACTGAGAGGTTGCAAACATGCAACAAAAATCATAAAATGATATAAAAATATAAGTCATGATCCAGATATATATTTATATAAATCACCTGCTGCAACAGGAATATACTGCAGCACACTATGATCAATATTAATGTCTGTTTGGATCCAGCAGAGCTTTAATTATCTAATTTAACACAGAGTTTACGGCTTTACGCTCATCTGGTTCCAAACAGTGTTTATTGAGTACCTAATGATTGTGCGTAGTTCTGTTATTAGCCTTCTATCTCATGAAATTTATTCCTATAATTTACGTTTTGTTACTAATCTCTTTCAAAAAATTGAGAAATCCTCAACATTATTTATGAGATCAAACATTATAAAAAAACCTGCTAAAACTGAAGTGGTCTTCACAGAAATGGGATAAAAAAATATATATCAATAACATCATGATTTGGTCTTCAATACAATTACAAATATTGTAATTTCCCTTTGCACAAACATCAAATCATGTAAAACAAGAGGGAAAAATTAATCAGTGACATTATTGGTGTAACCATAATATACATCAATTTGTCTACTCAGTCTAAGTTTTTGATATTCTTCATACTTTACATGGGACCTCTTGAGCGTAAGCACTGCCTCTATACTTTAATCTTGATAACTGATCTTTGTAACGAACCTTCCTAAATATATATATCATAAATGAGGTAGTTTGTACATTAATTGTTTAAGAGTATAAAACAGTTTGTTGGTGGCCCCCAAAAAATGAAACAGAGGAGATAAGAGGGTAACTTTTCAAGTGATGTAAATTTAGTATCAATGATTGAAGGAAAGGTAATGTAGACCCCTTTAGTCAAAAGTGTGAATTATCCCAGCTAAAAGGAAAGTGGAGAATTTCCTTTACTTTTGATATGTTTAAAGCCCCACTGCACTACTTGTAGCTACTTGCTCCCTCTATATAGAAAACTTCCCCAATCGGTGCCTGTTGGTCCCCCATGATCCTCTTTTTCTTATGTTATTTGAGAGCTGAGTTGATGAGATGACCACCTGTCCAGTGACCTCGCTGTGTGGTCTAATCCCTTCTGGCCCAGTAGTATTGACGGTCTTTAACGGAAATGTGATGTGGACCCCATAAGTGAAAAAAAAAAGTGTGAATTATCCCAGCTAAAAGGAAGGTGGAGAATTGCCTTTACTTTTGATATGTTTACAGGTTTCTGAACATGGGTTGAAATTTAGTAATGACAAAGAAAAGCTGAAGACAGGCCCCCTTTATTATGGTGCTAGATCAAATAACAAGCAGTCTGACAAATGAAACAGTTCAAATTATTGATACATGAGAATTATAGCAAATGTAGATGTATGCCACTAAACTGGTATTTTTGGTCGCGTTTTGGTTTTATCTAAGCAATTTCCTCCCTATCATAACCTCAACATTAAACACTCAACTATTTACCCAATGAAGATCACTATGTCCAGGATGTCAACAAAAAATGCCTAATTTAAATCACTGAAAGTAAATATGAATGCAGCACAATTGGTGAAAGTCGCCCTTTCGTGTCCACACAAAGCATAAAGCAAGTCAGTTCATATTTTGTATTCAATGTTGTATTCAACCTGCTCTAGAGCTCATATTTGGTCCATCATCTGTAATTTCATAACACTTTTAAACAAACATAGTCCTGGTTAGGATTTATCCCTATCTCATATAAAATGACCTCTAACACGATCGCAACTACCTGTATTTTTCGACAAATCTACTCGAGGGCAATTTCAATACCCCAATGTGTGTGTCCCGTATAAATCACGTTTGGATTACGTAATACCTCATTGTCATGTTCACACATTCCAGCAGGTGATGCACACGGCTATGGAAATTGTCTTAGGTTGATTGCTTTCAAAAGTAGTTGCTATCATGCTCTCAGATGGTTCGGTAAATTAGTATTTGGTCTACAGATAAATAATTTATCTTATCCTAATTACCCAATTGACCTCCCATATCCAATTTAGAAAGTCCAACAAGGGCTTAAAAGCATACAGACTAAAAAACTGTCAATTTGGCACCTTCCAAAAAAGTAACTATGGAGCCATGTTCCAATAAAAATATGAAACAAATATTGGATTAGACCATCTGGGAAATGGATGAATTGGTTCTAGACTAGATAGCAATGTATTGATAGAGTCCAATATGACCAACTTGATCATGATTAACTAGATATCGCTTGGGAGGAAGAACTTCTTTCAAATATCATACTTCATAATGGCGGTTCATTTCATAAAGTGTCTATATGTCTGACAAATGTTGATTGTCTAGGTCTGGTATGTCCTGACTTACAAGATAAAGATCTAGATTTGAAGAAAAAAAGAATAAAAACAATTGTGAACAATGTTCTGAGGCAGTAGGTGGGATGAATCTCGCAGTAATCATAACATTCATAAATATAACTGAATCATTTCAATTCCATTCTTATTTCATATATTTCCCTGATATTCGAGGTCTTTGTCAAACTGTAAAGAGCTACAATTTTTTTAATTTTTTAAAGCAGGACGATAGTTAAAACATGATGACAATCTTTATGCTATACTGAAAAGAAAGAGGACCTTTATCATTAATAATATGCATCACACGATTAGAATAATGATAATAATTATCATCCTTTGTAAAGCGCTTAGACATGAACTAAATGAAGACCTTAATTGTTCAGCTTAAAGGGAATAATAATACTGCATGGTTTATGGTGACACACATTTACATATTGCATTGTATCTTCTCTGAAAAATAAAAAGCGATACAAATCAGGAAAACACATATTCATTCAGGGACCAAAACATGGTCTTGCTGTAGTTATTTATATAATGCTTATGAATGAAGTGAAAAGATTGTCCAAAATTAATCACTACTTTGGATCACAAATTTATTTAAAAAAATTAAGATAAATAAATAAATGAAAAATCAATAATACAAATAAGGCAGAATGTAAATATTTTGAAAGGAGAAAAACAACTTAAAACCATTCAGATGTATTTTTGGATCAGCTCATAGAAAAATATTCCTCCGATACAGTTTCAAATTATGACGAATCATCTGCTAGGAGCCAGAAGGGCATTGACTAAGGATGACTTCATTGGAACATGGAAGGGGGGATGGGAAGGATACATACTTGTAATGTTAAAGATAAACTCCAGTTCTGGTAATGCGATTGCATTGTGAAAGAAAAGGTGTGGAATGGATCAGAAACAGTTGATCATGTAGCATGTAAGTATTGGTGTGCACTGCAAGGTTCGGGAGTCATCAAAATCATAATAAATTTGGCCGAGTCTTGGTAAAGTAACAAGCACTGTACACAGAAAGCTATATATGGGACAACACACATGGTGTCGGGGCTAGTACTACCTTGATTTCCTTGTCTTTCTATGCTCATTACTCAGCCAGTATACATTTTCTTCCAAAATTGTTTGGCACATGTCATTTATTTGTAATCTTGAACATTCAGTGTAAGTTTCGTTTGATTCTGTGAGAATTAATTTTCTTTTTTTTACCAGAACTGGAGTTTATCTTCAACGTATCGCTTACAGGTGCTCTTTGGTCCCTAAGGCTCGTTCAGTTATGACGCAGAAAAACCGCTGAGATTTTTGATGATATGAAGTGTAACATGATTTACATTGCTGTATTTCATAACACAAAGGTTGTCGAAGAAGCACAAGTCCTTTGTTACCCGCAGTTGCGATTCATTTCCACATACAAACAAAAATATGGTGGCTTACAGCTCCGTGTTGGCTCAGTCAGTAGAGCGTCTGCCTCACAACTGGGAGGTCGTGGGTTCGAACCCCAACCGCGGCATACCAGAAGACGTTAAATGACGGAGATTGCTGCTCCCTTGTTTGGCGTTCAACAATAAGGGATAGAGCAACGTCGATCTGGCGCTGCTCAGTGGCTGCCGGGCTCATGATAAAATGCGCAAAAAGAATTTCCATTTTCGGTTTAATTTAATAAAATTTGGAGTGGACTTTAACAGATTAACAGATTATTATAACTGAACAAGCCTTTAGGGTTATGGTAGTTAAAGAATTTAGTAAGTAGTAAAAGGGTTGACTTCTGAGAGCCAGGAAGGCGTTCATTTTACATGAAATATCATGAGTGACGCCTTTCTGGATCTCAACCTTTGTGAGCTCAAAGTTACTATCCCAACACGATGGCATCACAACCAAACTGAACTTAACTTGTGCTGGAAAAAAAATATTGCATAAGACAGCACAATACAGAGTACAATGGCGAACAGACAAACACAAACACAATACTTTCTCTTTGAAACATAAATTCACACATTCAGTTTTTATCGCACTGATTACGCATTGCGCAGGCTACGAGTGCTGTACTGTGACTTTTTTTAATTTTGCGTAAAAAAACAGGGAAAATAGTCCAATAGATTTATCTTCTGCGTATCTGCTGTACATGTTTGAAGATGTCCAACTCTTCAGCACCTCCGTCAATGGTCCTATTTACACTTGAAAGCAAGGAGGGTCATTCATACTGCTGGCTTGATTGAATATACAAGTCCTATATTCGGGTTAGAAACACAGAGAAGATGTCACATGAGTTGTTGCACCTTTCCTCCTATCTATGCTCTGTTCACATCTGAATGCACGAGGCTCCTCGGTGCTGGTACACAGGAATGATCCGCTTTTCCATGTCTACATTGCCGTGTGTGAACAACCCCTTCAAACACGTTTTTCAGGATTATCACCTATTCCATTCACATCACGTTCACATCAATGTGCTGGCCTGTGGAGTTTGAGATGATCATTTTTTTCCACCTCGTGCAGGTATAAGCAAGACATTGTGAAATCCGTTCCTGTGATTGTGACCTTTTTGCTTCGCTCAGCTCCTTTGCATGATATCCTTCGACGTTGATCATTCCTACTGCGACCCTTTCACATCGATTCCTCCTCGGCACATTATTCTCAATACTGCCAAAGTCAATTGAGCATGTTCACACCATCCTTTCGGCAACATCATTGGAGAATCGATTCTATGGTGGTTCCAAATATATATTCAAACTCAAATGTTCAATGTGAACACGGGTCCAATTCCTGTGGAGAATTACACTACCACAGAGTCCCCTTTCACACTAACAATTTTTAGCACTGATTTAAAGCTGCACACAAGGCAGTCCATGTTTGGTCACTCTCATACCGATTCCCCTACGGGTCCGTTCATAAGTCCCCTTGCGGGAATCATATTTGGGTTAATACCGTTCGCTAAGGGTATGTGAAGTGGTCCGTTCGGTGCGGGCACAGGCGGGGGCCGCTGTCGGGCCACCATGTGCCCGCCGTTTGGTAAATGTCCGTTTGGTATGTGCCCGTTGACCATGGGTGAACTAGGTGAGCTTAGAGTACGAGGTGAACCGGGGCCTTGCCTCCGAGGACCTGTTCATAGAAATGAAAACATAATTATTTTTAATAGATCTGAAGTAAAATTCAGATATAGCAGTCTCCTTATTTAATTTTTTTTTTTAAACTTCTGACAAAATCTTTAATACTGGACTTTAAGCAATAAAATTGTTCTCAAGCCTGCATGGCAAAAGAATCAGAAAAATATAGAACAGTGGGGTTAGAACCTGTTGGCACTTTCACAAAGCTATTGCTGTATGATGTCAATGACATGGTGAAGTGGAAACAAAAGCAAGTAAGAAAGATTATTCTTATCTTTTTATTCTTTTACCAGTATTTAGTTGATTCAATTTGATATTTTAGGCCATTTCAATGTAATTTGTCTGACATAATCTGAGATGCCATATGCAAAATAATAAATATTACTTTGACAGTCAGTTCACTTCAAACAAGTTTGTTTTAAAAACCTTCAATACAGTGCACTGTTATCAACAAAGTTCCTTGAACACCACCCGGTAATTATTGATTGTGCATCTTGTGCTCCAGACAAGTTGAAGCAACTGAAGTCATACTCTATCTGAAAGATAATATCTTATCCAAAACTGACCATGTGTTGCCATTGTACTAAAAGGAATATCATGAGGTGTTGAGGAGTTGTCAGGGACAAGTGGATATACAGCACCGGACTGTGGATCACATGGTTCACGGTTCGAGTCGCGCTGCAGCACTAACGTCCTTTAGCAAGACATTAATCTACATTTGCTACACTCGATCGAGGAGAGGTAAATGGGTAACTGGCAGGAATTGATTCCTTGAAATGCTAGAGCGCCATAATAGCAGCCGTGCTAAAGCGGGGTAATACTTGTGGAGCGCCAGGAGTGTCAAGTCCGACAGACTTGAGCGCTATACAAGAACCCACTATCATTAACATTAGTATCATGAGGATTAAAGATTATCTGCACTAGTTAGGCAAGGAGGGATTAGACCTCCCTGCATGGTCACTGACAGGGCATCTCATCAAATCAGCTCTCAATTAATATAAGAAAAAGGAGACCATGGTGGAACAACAGGTACTGCTTAGGCATTGTTTGCTATATAGAGGGCGCAAGTAGCTATAAGCAGTGCAGTGTGGCTTTAAAAAGCGTGAGACAGACGAGTTTGACTTACCTGTATGTGCATGAATAAACCATAGGCATGCTGTGAGTAGTACACCTATGGTGAAGGCTGCAAAGGCTATAGCTGCAGCAGGTCCTGCACCCAGACCTGAAACTAAAAACAAGAAAGGAATGGTTTAGATCCTCTGGCTATTCCTTTTGGGAGAATGCATCTAATGTTGAAATCGATCCTGTAGCTGGATAACTCACTGTTATGTGTTTTTTATTTTATTTTATTTCTGCATTTTCCCAAATATGATATAATTGAATAACTCAGGGACATCTTGGAAGGGGAGATGGATGGTAAACGGGGGAGAGGAAGACAAAGAAATGCGCTGAGTCAGGCTTGGTAGATGACAGATCATATGACACAATAAAGGAGAAGGGTTAAGATAGAGAAGGATGAAGAAAGAAACTAAAGAAAGCTCTGCACTTGGCCGAACACCTGAGTGTTTGACTTAGATAATAAAATATTAGCACATATGCAAAGAAGTGAACTCTTTTCTTACTTGGTTGAGCAGTGTTTCCTTCCAGACATGCTGTATTTCCTACATTCACTGTAAAAAGAAAAGATGATAGAGTTCTTGATAGTAACAATATACACGCAAACATATGTTCATATTCAACAGATATTATCAATAAAATCACTATTTCCTTTTCATAAACCATTAGTCTTAATTATTTTACGTCATCATATTCATCAACTGATTTCCTTTTCATCCAGTTGTGAAGCTTACAATATATAATTGATTATTGTAGAACAATAAATCTACATATTTATTATCATAAATTGAATAAAATCTCACTGCCATAGCCTGCTAGAAATTTTGAGATTGACAAATTTTGTAATATATTCTCTTCATAACCATCTACATAGTCCTCATCATCATCATCATCATCTTCACCATAAGCATCACCATCACCACCACCACTACCACCATCATCATCACCACCATCATCATGACCACCACCACCACCATCATCACCACCACCATCATCATCATCACCACCACCACCACCATCACCACCACCATCATCACCACCACCATCATCATCATCACCACCACCATCATCATCACCACCACCATCATCACCACCACCACCATCATCATCACCACCACCACCACCATCATCATAACCACCACCACCATCATCATCCCCACCAAGACCATCATCATCACCATCAACACCACCACCATCATCATCATCATCATCATCATTATTATTATCACCACCACCACCACCACCACCACCACCACCACCACCATCATCACCACCACCACCACCACCACCACCATCATCATCACCACCACCACCATCATCATCACCACCACCATCATCACCACCACCACCACCACCACCATCATCATCACCACCACCACCATCATCATCACCACCACCATCATCACCACCACCACCACCATCACCACCACCATTATCATCACCACCACCACCACCACCACCACCATCATCACCACCACCACCATCACCACCATCATCATCACCACCACCACCACCACCACCATCATCACCATCATCAACACCACCACCACCACCACCAACAGCATCATCACCACCTCCACCACCATCATCTCCAGCACCACCACCACCACCACCACCACCATCATCATCATCATCATCATCATCTTCATTATTATCATGCACATCACAAGTTTACAACCATCATCATTATCATCATCATCATCATCTTATTCATGCCTCAAAATTATCATCATCCTCATCATCATCATCACAACCCCCACCACCACCACCACCCTCCTCCTCCTCCTCATCATTACCTTCATTATCTATATAATTGGTATCCACTATAGGTGTTTCTATTGAGCTGTCTAGCATGGGACCAATCTCTAGTGTCTTGCTTGGTCCGGTGGTCAGCTGCTGACCCACACGTACCCCTGGGTTACCAGAGCAGGCTTGCTGGAGGGCCTCTAATGTAGAGCACTGTCAAGATAAGATAAGATGGTGTAAAAATAGTCCGTATTATATCTCGCATACTAAGAATCTTGCAATCTGATTGGTCTAAACGAGGTCACATGATCAATGATAGATAAGTACTATCTCCCTTTTGTACAGTATTTTTTTTGCTTGCCCATTGAATAGGCATAGCAAAGTAGGTTACGCGAAATGTCAGTGTTTTTGTTAAGGCCAAACTAGTACTAGTCAATGACGCTTAATTTTAAGCTTTGAAAAGTAAAATGCTGATGCTAAACTGTCTGCAGAATCAGAACACTGCAAGCGAAAATCTAGTTCTTTTAATTATGTAAAATTCACTTTAAATACACATTGCCGATGTGGGATATAAAACAAATATTAACCTCCTTTACCCTCGTAGTCTGTTAATATTTGCTTACTTTATCAAACTTCAATTAATGGAACTTATTAATATTGTTGACATCAGAAAATAAACAAAACTTGTCAGGTGTCATGGTTTGGGACAAACAAATCTCTCACTGGACCAACAAACGCTAATATCTTCTTAAAATCGCTTTTAGGCTTGTGTGAGCTAAGTTGGCTTCTATGGCATGTTTCACCATATTATTAGTATGACAATAATTATGACTGATCTAGCATTTACTAAAAGCTCTGAATTTCTTCTTCTTCCTAAGCTCAATATTGCGTGGAGGGAAAGAACCTTTGCTCATGAGGGGCCTTCGCTTTGGAATGTTCTCCCACAAGAGATTCATAATAGCAGATCAGTTGAAGTGTTTAAGAATAATCTTATAACATATCTGTTTAATTTGTCATATAATTTATATGTTTTATCTTACTGCTGTTCCTTTGTTTATAATGCAGATGCTTTTTATATGATCTGTTTTTTGTTTCTGTTACTCAAGTTGGCTTTGAGCGTTTCATTTTAGGTGGATTCAACGCCTTACAATTTCATTAGCAATCTTATCATTACTTACCACTGGTATGCCCTTCTCCTCATCGGCAGTATTATAATCCTTACTGCACAGACTGAGCTTACAGCTGACAAACGTATGAAGGCCAAAGGTCTCCCGCGTCCAGTGGACCTCGAAACTGAAGCGCTTCAGGTCGCCGTCCTCCTGAGGGTCCAGACTGACGTAGTTGGGGTTCAGCTCGTGGAAGATGACCGTCTGGTCGACGGGGCAGCTGTGGAGAGACGGAGGTAGAGAGAAAGATTCATGAGTTAAGAAGAGCAGCAAAGAGAGGAGAGATTTGAGCATTACAAGCTTTTTTTTTGCAACAAACAGCATCGGTGATGGCAGGCAGCATCCCAATGAAATGAGAGATATAAAATACACATTGGAATTGGATGTCATATAATCCTCCACAGGTACTAAAATAGTCTCAATGAAAAGGGGCCTACCTGAATTTGTTTATACTATATACATGTATGCTTGCTGGTACATACACATTGCATCATGATAACTCTACGAAGGAGTAAATGTCTTTGAGTCTGATTGAGGTAAACCCTTTGTCTGGTGACTGAGAACAAGTTCAAAACCTCCACAACTACTTCAAAACAAAGGAACTTACTCAACACTGGGTATCATCTATTGTCTTGAGAGCCATGAGGACATTAAATCATACCCTTTGTAACTAACTTGGCTAACATCAAAGGATGACCCTGTGGACCAATCACCAAGTCAGTGCACCACAATCCTTATCATCAGGTTCAAGTGAGGCATCGCCCACCTGGGGGGTGTTTCACAAAACTTGTCATCAGTTACAAATGACAGTTTGTGTTATAAGCTACTGAAATCCTTGCTTCTGATAGGTTATCAGCAGTTATGTCACTGATTTTTGTTATTTGTCATTGGAAAAGGGCTTTGTGAAACGCCCCCCCCCCCCCCCTGGACCTGTCTAAATTGCTTTCGGACTGATACAGGACCATGCAACGTCCTCATGCATACATGGGGCTATAGTAAAGATGGAGGAACTTTGTGTGACTGTCGGGAGGAACAGCATTTAACACCTTTCAGTCTGCCCCCTCCTCCCAGAGCCCTGTACCCCTCCAGACCTAAAAGGGTTTCCAGCACCACAGCCAGATCCTGCAGCCTCAACTGGACCAGGCTCGAGCAGTGACTAGAGCTGAAAAACATTCATATATTTTTGTCAAAACCACACTCGACACAATTTTTACAAAATACCTACCTGAAGTCAATCAGGGAGTGGACAATCTCGTCAGCCACCTGGATCCAGCACTGGTTGATGACCACCTCATGTCTCCTTTGGCCTCCGCTGACCCCGACCTGGAAGTACAACCTGGTGTGGTCCTGCAGCGGAGCCGGAAAGTCCACCACCTTGTCCTGGAACAGCGGTGTCTGGTACATGTCCATGTGGAGGGTGACATGGTTGTCGGTCATGCCTGGTTTGGTGTTGGTGGGTCCGTGAAGGTACTCACACTCGATGGACGATGCGTAGAAGGGCATAGAGGAGTCCTCGTCATCGACGTCCACATCGCCGAGAGGCATGTCGTCGCCTGATCCTTCCATACCGGCACCACTGCCTTCAGGGGACCCATTGAAGAACAGCACCTTGAAAATAAAGATGAAAAATTTAATGAAAGGAACTGTAATGCAAACCCGTATCCGCACACCTACCCCCTGGACATCCACCCCCAGTCAACTACCCCCCGGGACAACTACCTCCCGGACAACTACCCCCTAGGACAACTACCCCCTAGGATGGTTGTCGTAGGAGGTAGTTGTTTGGGAGGTAGTGGTTCTCCAGGGGTTGGATGTCCAGAGGGTAGGTGTCCTAGAACCGGTTTGTATGGTACACAATTATGTCTCCCATCAGCCTCCTTTGTAGGATTGTTTACATTTGTCTGCAAAGTGACAGACCTAGGATGGTATAGCATACAAATGCTCTATTCATATCTGATGTGTATGAATACAAGCTAATTATGCATTCCTGGAAAGTGGAGACTGACTTCGAAAACTATTGAAAAATGTAAATCATGGTTTTACAGGTAGATCAGAGACCCAACCACTAGACAAATTAAGACAACTAGACACAAACTCCCTATGGAATTTTCTTTTCTTAAAATTGAATGATCACAAATTTGAAGTCACCTAGAACGAACGTAATTGTTACGAAACACGACTAACAAGGTGACAGATAAAACTGCCAAGTAAGCAGGCACGTGCCCCTCCTACATTTCCAAGATCGGTTGAACTTTTTTAGACCCCTTTTTTTTTAACCTCGATCGATTACATGTATGTGCTCCCCCAAACATCAAACTCTGGCTACGTGCCTGCAAGTAAGTCTCTCTCACTAAATGAGCAGGAGAAAAGAAACTACACAGGATTCCAGAGCTGCAAACCTTGTGCGACCAAAAAAAGGAACCATGATGACAAAAAAAAGGAATTTAAAGCAAAAAAAGGACTTCATTAAAACGAAACTTATAACCATGCGCGACATACTTCCAATGGCGAGATGTCCATTCCTCATGCTAGTTTTTTTTTTTTTTACCTATAGTTTATTTACAAGTAGGTATTCTTTTGTTGTTATTTTGGTATTATCAGCGTTTCATTCTTTTTGAGAATACTTTTCTCTTCAAATACGTTTTCAAGTATGTTTTAACCTCAGTTTTCTATTGGATTTGTGATCAAATCAACATTTTAGGCCAGTTGTTTGACATGGGGTATATAAAAAAAATAAAGAATTAACAAAAAAAAACAAAAAAAAGTATTTTATGAAGAAAAGACGTACTACCGTCATTTGGAGGAAAAACAGAAATTTTTTGGGAATAACGTAATGGTTAGCAGCTCTGGTATTCCTTGTTCCATGAAGTCATCCCTCGAGTCGTCAATCTTACCCTGTTACGATATATCATCTTATTCATCCTCTGCTCCGATGTAGTCCCACATGCATTCAGCTGCGTATCCAACATGAAACCCAACGTCATGTACTCCACCGAGGTGCAGTCCCTATCCTCCAGCGTGATGTCTTCAGGGCTCAGGTTATAGTACTCGGCCACCACGGTGGGGACGAGGGCCCTGATGCTGTTCTTCAGGCACTCCACCACCACGTGGGGCGAGTCGTCGGGCCAGTCAATGGAAGTGGATCCGGTCTGGTCGGGAGAGAGGGGGTGGGTGTGCCTCGAGATATCTGCAAATGATCAGAATAATAATAATAATAATAATTCCGCTTTTATATAGCGCGTAATACATCTATGATGTCTCTAAGCGCTTTACAGATATACTATTACCCCGGTAATTGGATTCAATGCTTGCCCGCACACAATGTGTGCACAATCTCCACTTCCTGGGGAGCATTCCAGCTACGTATTACTTGACGCTCAAAACTGTTTGTATCGATGGTTTCTATTGATAGACATTTTTTTTTAGAGTGCAGAGGCTGTATTGTATAGCATTTTCAAATTTATGCCATAATGAAATATTACACATGTTTACAAACACATTATTATATCCCAAACCAGTGGTTCTGACAGAAGTAGTTGGCTGAAGACCAAATAACTTGAAGAGACTTTGGGGGGGGGGGGGGCACTGACGAACAACTTCATTCAAAGGGTTACAGCAAACATGTTACATGTAGATGGGGTAGTTTAGTCATTAAGGTTAATCCTACAAATGTTCGGGAGGGGGAGGGGCAACTGAATCAACCCCTTGAGTGTTCAGTAATGTGTTCGATGATGATTGTTTTGTACTGTAAGCTTCCATGACTTCATGGCCTGGAGTCTTACACATCATTTAAAGCCCATCTGTACTTGTGTAAAGGAGGGATTAGACCACCCTGCAAGGTCACTGGACAGGTGGTTATCTCATGAACTCTCAAATAACATAAGAAAAAGAGGATCATGGGGGACGAATGGTCACCGATTAGGCATTGTTTGTTATATAGAGGGCACAAGTAGCTACAAGTAGCCCAGTGGGGCTTTAAACCAAACGTGTACAATTTTGACCAACATATATCATGCAGTGTAAAAAATCATTGCATTGCGTGTGGCAAAAATGGACATTTCTCAATGTGTATCTTACACACACTTCACCGGCTTATTTGTGGGATGGGTGTGGAATCCATCCCTCTCTGGTAGAGAGAGCACCAAAATAACCAGGGAGGTGTTTCACAAAGATTTTAAGTTGAACTTATCTCTAAATTGGACTTAAAAATTATGGAGAGCCGTAAGCATCTATGAAAATATTTGGTGAAAGTTATTTTAAAAGGCATAAAATTTTGATTCAAATCATTCAAATGATCTATTATCAAGGAGATTTCATGTTCCTGATGTGGAATTACTAAAAAGTCCAAAATACTTAAAATTTCGCCTTTGAATTTTTTTATAAGGCTACAAATTTGCTCTCCATAATTTCTAAGTCCAACTTAGAGATAAGCTCGACTTAGGATCTTTGTGAAATACCCCCCTGGGTATCGACCCAATCGACCAAGATTAAAAGTAACCTGTTTTCTAAAGAACATGCAAAAAAACTCTTTTAAAACAAATAAGGATTTTGAACACTTACTGGCTTTACCAACTGTGATGTCAAACTTGTTGGCAAGGACAGCCTCCGTAAACGAGACCACAGCGCTGTACCTGTCCCTCGCCCACGTCAGGAGGTTGTCTCCGGTCGATGGAATGTTCTCTTTCTGCAGTTCAAATGGGCCCGATGTGATGCCTTCTGTGTTCACCTGGTGAGGGCTCTGTGTGGATTCAAATTATAGCGAGATATGATATGATTTGATTTGATTTGATTTTGATTATTATCATTTATCAAACTGGTAACAGGGCAAGTAAATAAAATAAAATAATAAATCTGGAATTATTTAATCATTAAAACAGAATACCTTTTCTAAGCACTTTACAGTAATCATTAATACCCTGATCATCGGATTCACTCACGCATTATCGCATATAGTGAGCACTGTTTCCGCTCCCTGGGGAGTATTCCTAACATATGGTAATGTCTATCACAAAGTCTTTAATCATCCTACCAGGTCCCCATTTACCTCCTGGGTATGGAGTGGCAAATGTAGATTAATGTCTTGCCAAAGGACACATTATAGCGTTGTGTAGAAGGTACAACGTACATGTATTGAACCAGGGGACCTACAACTCAAGGCCATATTCAAGAGGAAATATGGCCATTTACTAGATAGATAACCATCTTAGAACATCCAAAGCCTGAAAATATTGCTATTTTACACCTTTGTTTGAGAATAATTAAGAAAAAAATTATACAAAACTGCATATTTAGTACTGAAAACACTCTGCAAGTATGCCACCAAGATTCAAATTAAATTTGTCTTAAAATGTAGTTCTAAAGTATGAATTTCTTCCTCGAAACAACTGATCAATGTACATTGCTGCCAACATGGGTCTGTCCTGCCATATTTTTCGATAAATAATATAGATCTAGACCTAGATTTAAATGTTGATACAGTAGATCTAATACTAATAAACGTAACAACAACAGATCATTATTATGATGCTACTAACCAAACTTCTGAGTGGAACATCATGGTGGAAAGTTCGATAGACAAGTATCACTTCCTACCTGGACCTAGATCTGGATCCACAGAATGTCACAAAAATAAAGACATCGATAGTATAGATTGTATAGAGTTCCTACAATACCTATCTTGGAACCTTATTACTAGCATAGATCTTGAACCAGGTATGCAAATACCCTTCAAGCACAGATATTTACCCATATCTGTAGTTCTGTCATGCCAGAAAAACAAAATCATACAACATCCTGGCAAACAGGCTACCATGTACTTGTGCTTACTATTATTGATGCAATCTGGGGACTGTGAAACGAACCCTGGTCCCTCAAACAATGACTCTAGCTCAATTTTTCTGTGTATCTTATGCGGCGACCCATGCACTTGGTCGCAGAGAGCAGTTCAATGCGACGAGTGTAACGGTTGGTATCATGCTCAATGTATGGATATGAATAGCAGTATGTACGAGGCATTGGGCGGGTCCAATGTTTCTTGGATCTGTTGTAACTGTGGTTTGCCCAACGTCAGCACATCCTTTCCCTTTCTCTCTCAATGTTCCATAAATCTGTCAAACTCTTTCGCTAATCTGGAAACACTGGATAGTGACAACGTGGCCTTAAGTCCACCTATCACTTCTTCATCACCTAAAGCTGCTACTGGCAGGTCAAAGAAATATTCCAAGACTAAAAAAACCTCAAACAAAGGAAGGAATCCCACCAAACCTAAGTTCAGCAGACCTTTAAAGGTACTGGTAATCAACTTTGGTAGTATCAAGAACAAAGTTGCTGATCTCGCAGCTTGTCTGGAATTCAATAATCCAGACATAGTATTAGGATCTGAGACATGGTTAAACCCCTCGATCAGAAATGAAGAAATTTTTCCTAACCAATACACAGTCGTCAGAAAAGACAGAATAGACTCACACGGGGGTGTACTCGTTGCCTTTAAGAGCGACTTAGTAGGAACCCATAGAATGGACCTCGACACAGATTGCGAGGTTGTTTGGGTCCAGTTTCAGTTGGTAGGATGTAAGTCATTATTGGTAGGTGCCTTTTACAGACCACCAGATAAAAGGGACCATCAGTATTTGAATGAGTTGCAAACTTCCCTGTCTAGAATTAAAGGTAAACACAATGACAACATCTGGATTGGTGGTGACTTCAATCTAGGTGATATACAATGGGACTCCCAAAACGTACGTCCTAACCCACAGGTTACGAAAGTATGTCATCAAATGATTGACTTGGCAAATGATCATAACTTACAACAAATAGTTACTGATCCTACAAGACAATCAAACATACTCGATCTTTTCCTCACCAACAATCCTACCCTAGTCGAAAAATCTACCATCTTACCTGGGATAAGTGATCATGACGGAATTCCCATGCTTGTTATTAACACATCACCAAAAATCTCCAAACCTAAACCACGTCGTGTTTACCTGTATGCCAAAGCAGACAAAACAGGAATGAAAACAGAATTGAACAATTTTGGCAAGGAATTTTGTGCTACAACATCAAACACTGAGTCTGTTGAGCAATTATGGAATGTCTTCAAGACTCGACTAAAGAACATTATGGATATTTTCATTCCCACCAAGGTTATTAGTAAACAGAACAAAACCCCTTGGATAACCCCCAAAATCAAGCGAATGCATAGACGGAAACAACGGGCCTATAACAAGGCCAGAAATTCAGGAAACGATTGCGACTGGGCGAGTTTTAGAGAAATCAGAAAAGAGACCCATAAGTTGACCAGATCTGCTTACAGAAAACACATTAGAGATTTTTGCTTGGAATCAAAAAAACAGTTCTGGTCTTTCGTCAAAAGCCTCAGGAAGGACTCCTCTGGAGTACCCGCCTTAAAAGAAAAGGGTGTCCTCACATCAGAGGATAGCCAGAAGGCCGAAATACTCAATGAATACTTCCGTTCAGTCTTCACTACAGAAAATCTACAAACCCTTCCCAACATTCCTCAATCTAATATCTCTGGTATAAATAATATAATCATTCATACTCCAGGGATCGAGAAACTCTTGAAGAACTTAGATCCAAAAAAAGCTTCCGGGGTCGACGAGATTTCCCCCCGTATACTAAAAGAGTTTTCTCAAGAATTGGCACCACTTCTTTCCAAAATCTTCCAAGCATCTTTTGATACAGGCTATTTACCCGAGGACTGGCGTAAAGCCAACATCACACCTATCCATAAAAAGGGTGACAGAACCAAACCAGAAAACTACAGACCAATATCTCTCACTTCTGTATGCTGTAAACTACTAGAACATGTTGTACACTCTCATATAATGAACCATCTTGAGTCGTACAACATACTCAGTAAATACCAACATGGATTTAGGAAAGGTCATTCCTGTGAATCACAGCTAATCCAAACCATGCACGACCTTACCCTTTCTCTCGACAAACGGACCCAGACTGACATGATCGTTACTGACTTTTCTAAAGCGTTCGACACTGTGCCCCATCATCGTCTCATCCTTAAACTTAATCAGTACGGTATCAATGGGAAAACCAACAGGTGGATCTCATCCTTCTTACAAGACAGGCACCAACGGGTAGTATTGGGGGGAGAACATTCACAGTGGGTTAGGGTTAAGTCGGGCGTTCCTCAAGGGACAGTGCTCGGACCTTTACTCTTTCTAATCTACGTAAACGACATACCTGACGAGTTATCCTCGACCGTACGACTATACGCAGACGACTGTATCTTATACTCTGGCATAAAAACTCAACTTGACGCTACCAGACTACAGGACGACCTTGACAGACTTTCTGCATGGGTGGATAAGTGGCAAATGCAACTCAACCCCCAAAAATGTCATGTTCTTAGATTTAACGCTTCTAGATCCCCTGTAACAACCAAGTACACCATCGGAGGTACTGTATTACAGGAAACTCCCTCTCACTCGTACCTAGGGGTAGAGATCTCCAATGATCTAAAGTGGGATAAACACATTTCTAACATAACATCGTCTGCAAATAAGGTCAATGGATTCATCCGTAGAAACCTTATATCATGTACTAAACAAACTAAATCCTTAGCTTACACAACTCTAGTCCGTCCAATTGTAGAATATAGTTCTAGTGTCTGGGACCCATATACCAAAGAACATACACAGGAAATTGGCAAGGTCCAAAGAAGGGCAGCCAGAATGGTATGCAATGACTACAGGCAAACTACCAGCGCGACAAAACTAATGGTAGGGTTAGGATGGGACTTGCTTTCTATTCGAAGGAAAGTTTCGAGGGTCTGTATATTGCACAAAGCCTTGGGGGGGCACTTGGCCCTGCCGGTGTCGGACTACCTGCGTCCAGCTACACGAGCCACCAGACGTACCTCAGGAAACTCCTTCATCCAATACTCCACCCGCACCAATTGTTTTAAACACTCCTACATTCCACGTACCATCAAGGACTGGAACTCACTACCCTCCGACATCCAAAGGACCACGAACATTGACACCTTCAAACTCCAAGCAACCAACTTTTTCCGCAACCAAGACTCAAGCAATAAGAACTAAATAAGCACAGTGCGCACCCCCTCATTCCTCCTCGCTTGGTTCCTTACGGAACGTTGAGGAGTACTCCCGAAGAAAAAAAAAAAAAGAAATGTACATTCACAGCAAGTCCTTAAAAAAAAAAAAAATGTAAAACATGTTTCTTCTACAGATTTCAGAGAATTAATTACTATTCAACAACAAGTACGAGTAAAAGTACACATGATTATTATTTAAAAAGATACTGCTCCGACTCCTGTGTGTCTCACCATGATGGTGAGATGCCTGATCTGGTCGCTGCTGACGATGTTCCACACCACAGGCGTGTCTGCCTGCAGGATGAGCACCACCCTCCTCTTGGACGCCGCGTTCCTCGACACCTCCTTGAGCTCGACGACCACGCTGGAGCGCCTGGAGCTGGGCGAGAGGAGCCAGATGAGGTGGACCTCCTGAGTGGCCCTGCTGATGTCGGGGATGCAGAAGCCGATGCGGACGGGCTCCACCTGGCTGGCGCTGATGTGCGACTGCTGGTAGTTGGGGGTCAGCGTGCACTCCTCAGGAGCATTAGGGTCTGGGAAGGTCAGAAATGTGATGGAAGGTTCAAGGGGATGTACACAAGGAAAGAGTGGGAGGTGGGGAGGCAATACTTGATGTGGTAATCCCTGAAGCAGCTTTTCCAAGCTATACTGGGATGGGATGTGTTGTGACAGCAGGTGAAGGTGCAGACAACAAAAGGGTGTACAATTTCTATATACAGTATCCCTGTGATGTGCAAGTTAAATCATGCTGCTAAATGGTTTACAGCATTCTGGAACCTACAGGAGGTTCCAACCTTCTGATGACAGGGAGGGTAATTAAAACAATTAAGGGGTAGCACCCCCTTTAAATAGTTATATTTGGAATGTAAATCCTTTTCTGCATATTTGGAAACCTTCGGGTTCAACTGTTTCATCCCCTTACACAGAGTGCTAGCAATACTCCTGAACATGAGGAGTTGTTAAATTGTACAGACTTCCTTTTCTTTTATTCTTCCTTCACTTTCTGATTTAAAAAATCTAAATTAAGATAAAGATTGATGAAAAAATGTTTTTAGTATGTTTTCATTTTTGTAAATCATATGTAAAGTAATCAACTTGTCCTTATTCTGTGAGCCTATGAGGATATGGAACCCCCATCTCAACCACTAATCCTATAATAGATGACTCTGAAGACTACATTCCCATAGATCCCTACACTAAACTTGTGATCAGATATGACAAGTAGCAATTTCTTTGGGTAAAAAAAAACCCACAGTAGACAACGTTCAATAGGCATCAGCATTGTTTTCTGTGTTACATGAAGAACACATTACTCATCACATTTTATGCTTCTTCTGCATTTTTATAAGGTTTTTTTTCCACCATCAACATCACTTTCTGTGTTATAGGATACCAAACAAGAATTACACTTTACTTATCACATTTGACTTTTCTGCTGCATTTTTTAAATCAAGGTTTTTCTACATCACATCTAAGGAGGCCTTACAAAGAAGGGAGGTAACCTACCTTGCCCAACTTGCAGGTTGATGACGTTAGCAGACTCTATGGTTGAGAACGTCCACACCTTGGAGTATGTCGACGTGACCCACGCCAGTAAGGCATCATCCTCGGAAGGCATCTCTGTTATTGATATGGTGGGAACTACAATGTTGGTTGGCTTGACAACGGAGGAATTGGTAGGGATCTGTAAGATAAGAAATTAAAAAAGAAAGGGGAAGAAAAAAAAAGAATGAAGGATTAGAACTTATTAAAGTATTTAGGAAATTTTTATCATAGGATGTTACATTTAAGATCCAACATCTTGGGTTCTGTAATATAATTGTACATTTCACATTTTAGTAAACATATAGAGCAGCATCGGTGCATATTTATTGCCAGATGAAAAATAAAAACATGGTTTAATTGTTTGTATTTAGGCACACTGTACCCAGTAGTTAGGCAGTAAGAGTATCTGTGCATAATATACTTGGACAGACAGTCAGACACACAAATGTTTAAGGGCAAGCATGGCTCACAGTTGTTTTTATTGAGGCACACTGTACAAGAGAGTGAGCATAGGGAGCAGAGTCTTAATGCATAATACAACATGCTTGACACAAAAATGTCTGAAGGTCTGTATTTTTTATCATTATGGGCAAATATAAACCAGGTCTTCATGATGCAACATGCTAGGCACAAAATACAGAAAAAGGGTCAATTACAAACATGGTTCACATGTATTCTTATTTGTGGGCGCACTGCACAAGCCCCACAAACCCACAGGGAAAGCATAATACATAATGTAACATGCTAGACAAACAACTAAGGCAAATGAGGTTAACTAATGCTTTTATTGAGGCACCCTATACAGGTGTGCACAGCAACCACAGGACGAAGCATGATTGATGCATATGCATAATGTAAGATGCTAGACACAGATGAAGGGCGGACATGGTTATCAATAGCTTTTATTGAGGCACCCTATACAGGTGTGCACAGCAACCACAGGACGAAGCATGATGCATTAATGTAAGATGCTAGACACTGATGAAGGGCGAACATGGTTATCAATTGCTTTTATTAGGGCACCCTGTACCAGTACCTACTAACCAAGAGGAGAAAAAAAGAAGAAGTGGCAGTTACACAATAATGGCAAACATGGCTCACAAGTAAATTCCATTTGCTAGAATGAAGGCACATCGCACAAGCCCCATAAACCACAGGGAAAAACATAATGCATAATGTAACATGCTAGACAAACCACGAGGGCAAATGAGGTTAACTAATGTTTTTATTGAGGCACCCTGTAAGAGTAGCAACCAAGTGGAGAGGTCTCTATATGCAATTAAAGTTAAGTTACAGACAGAACAAGGGTAAACATGGTTTTCATTTGCTTTTATTGGGGCACCCTGTACGCGTTGCTTACCGTCCAGAGAGGGAGCAGCGAGCGTCTGTGCATAATGCAGTGGGACAGACGTAAAAGATGAGATGAGAAATGGGACTATGTAAACGCTAGGATAATATCCATGGAGCCAATGCCACCAATGTTTAATGAAGCCAAGATATTGGCCAGAGGTTCATCTAGCGATATGATTGTTGCACACGGTGAGCAAGCATTGCGATCGCTCACCCTCTTCAGTCGAGAGGGCCGCATCGCCCGCATGTTTCTTCATCCCCTTTTGGTTTGCTACCGTTTTGATTCCGTCTGCAGCGATGTATAAATCTTCCTCACTTTGCAATTGAGATTGATGATTCAGTAGCAAAAAGCTCTAATGAAAACATACGTTTGTATAACTAGAATCTTTTTAATTAATTAATCCATTCTTCTCATACAATTTAATGAAACGTGTTCTTTGTCTTGTGCCCTTTCTTTGGTGCCTTGATGAGAATTAACAGTGAACCTCTTAAAAAATTCACAGGGAAAACAAAATGACAAGCTAATCTACGTCAAAATGATTTGCTGATAATCAGTCAACAATTCAAGCAAGTTATAGAATAGCAGTATCACAAAGGAAATACGGTATATCTTAACCTATACAGTGGACCCCTAAGAATAACAGCACTTGTGCTGGTAGGGTATTTTTCTACCCAACAAGTGGTAGATAAATAAATAATTGATTAAAATGAATACATTGTTGTAGGCCTATTACATGTGTATGTTTCATAGAGCCACTAGCTCTCATTCAGAGGCAACCTCTCACGTCTGTTTACAGCCAGAAAGGCAAAAAACTTGATCAAGTTATGAAAGATAATGCCCTTCTGGTACTCAGCAGATATGTAGTGAGCCATGAGACCTGTCCTCATCAGCTTGAGTTTGCCAAATAACCCGCTTTTTTCAGACTCGGGATATTATCCCGAAGCTCGAAATTGCGCCATCACCAGACCGATACGCTCATCACAAACTAGCACGGACAGGCGCAAATTAGCCCACTATTTCCTGAATAGCGGCATATTTTGGAAAGACCAAGATTTCTGTGGATACTTTCTCGACCAAATATCCTGCTAATTGCAACTGCAGGCTGATGAGGTTGATGAGGCTGATGAGGACGCAAATTAGCTGGATAATTTGCCTTTGGGATAGTTAAAATAGCGGGTTATTTGGCAAACTCGAGCTGATGAAAACAGGCCTAAGGATGCTAAATGATGCTGCTCTACTCCAATCAACGGAACTAATCACTGGATGATCCTCTTCTATCGCTTGAAAAGATGATGACATAATGAGTTTTTAAATGCTTCATTTGCGAAAACACAACTAATGCAATGCTGCTAACCATTTGGCATGCAGTCGTATATGAACAACATATATCCGGCCTTTTCATCATTTCTTTTCTACTACATGATGCAGGCATAATTTGATTGGCCTTCTGGGCTTAATTGGAAAATCTATGAGCAAACGGTAACCAAACGTCAAACTTGGTACCCTACGCAGGAGTCAGGCCGATATGAAGTTGGAAATCAAATTATTTGAGCAGATGTGATCGAGTGACTTTGAGTCTGTTATGATATTCAATTCATGGAGATATTAGTCCATCTTGCCAGAGATGATGATATGTGAGCAAAAATCATAAAATTAACATATTCTGCTGATTCCATCGCTTTTTTAGCAGATGTGATTTAATCTACAGATACATGGCATTGTTAGTCCATCTTTGGTGAGATGATCAGTTGTCAGAAAAATCATAAAATTAACATACTGAAGCTCATATCAGATTCATTTTAGCAGATGTGACCCTAGTTTGTTTTAAAAATCATGGCACTATAATATAAGCCTATTGAAACATTCTGGTATGTCACCAAAAAATATAAAGTTTTTACATCACTTTTAGCAGATGTGATCAAGTTCATTGTAATATTAATGCCTGTATTATTTCAGTTAAACAAAAATGATTATTCCATAAATATATATCATTCAATTAACATATTCTGACCTTTTAACTGATGAGGTCACTTTTTAATGGACGTGGCTAAAAAAAATTGTTGGAATTCTGAACAGATATGGAAAATATTTCAAGAAAATCACATAATAAATATATTTCTCTTGCAAATGTTGAGTACAGTCGTACAGGTGAAAATTTCTGATCATCCCCAATGATGTATCATGAATTCATGATGGTTGAAATGTTTAGGAAAATATATCATTAAAAATGTATCCTTGAATAACTGGCAGCCTAGTATAAAATCCAGAGAAGCTTCATTCCATAAGGCATAATCAGATTAGGGGGATCAGAACTCGGAACATTCAAATAAAAACGCAAACAACCTTATGTTTTTTGTTGTTGTAAGATCACATGCATTTTCTTTTCTTTTTAAGCTGCACTGCATTTAATCTACAGTCTTTTGTAAGGAAAGCGCCTTCAAATTAGGAGCAATCTTGAGAAAATAGCGAAATAAACATAAACAGGAACTATAGTCCACAGCATGCATTCCTGATCTTCAATCATTAAGTCAAGACATTCCACTTAATCTTTTTGTTTACTACTTCAAGCAAGATGGGATTATTAGAGATCTACTTCATCATACCATGATCATTCACCCCCTCCCTCCCCCCAACCCGGGCGCACAATTACAAACATAAACAAAACCAATCCACAGACTCTACACTACAGGTTTATACATTTCCTAACTGATCCTTCTTTTGTTACTTGCATTATTACCTTCTTTTCTTTGCTATTGTTTATGAATCTTATGATATGTTAAATAATTTATTGTATGATTCATCTGATATGAATGTAATCTCTTTCTTTGTTGATGAACATGCAGTGCACATCTATATTTTTAAAACACAAAGAAATCACTTAAGTTTTTGTAATACCGTCAAAGCTTATTGATATATTATTATGTTTATCATAGACCAGACCACTAATATTGTCATAGGCCTACAGCTACAGCCCAGGTAAACTGTGTAGGCCTAAATTGTGTAGACTCTCAATAATTTGCTGGTACCAATGTAAGGTTATACAGGTCTCAGTGATAAGTAAAGGGTTAAAGAGGAAGGGGGGGGGGGGCACAATTTCTATTTTGAATAATCACACAATAATGGGGCAAGTATTTGTTATGTGATTGGGTTAGCTAACAGGTTTTGAAACAAAAGGGGTGAGATGGCTAGCTGTGCCCGGATTAAAATAAACTACTTCACATACATTCTGCCATGTGTCAAAAAGGCGTAACTCCCATTAATCAAATGTGGTGGTGACTGGTGAGTGCCCTTCTACAGTGTAGCTCCTAGTTGCTAATTTATCAGGTTTTTGTTGAAAATGTGGAAAAACCAGGGTAATGTTGTAGTGCCTTGAGCACTGTACATGGTGGATATTCCTTCTGACATTCTGTACCTGATGCCAATATCATTATTATAATTATACTTTCATTATTAAATTATGTCCACAAAGACCTGACCCAGTTTTTATCTCAAACACATTATAATGTGAGCATGCAGAACTGGATTTATATTTGCTGACGCATTCTCATTAACCTTCACTAACTGAGAATAATGGCCAAAGCAGATACCCATTCACATACAAATGACACTGAACTTAGATTTAGACAAAATGGGTCTGAATAAACCAGACTAAACTCCCTATTAGCATAGTTAACACTTGAGCAGCTCTATCTTAAATAAAATACTTAAGAAGATTAAAGTTCCATTATCTGTGTTTGAACCAAGGTGGGAACAATGGGACTACACTCAACCCTCTCAACACAAGTGAT